TGTATGTTACACTTCTCTTTTCCCTAGCTGCTTTCAAGATCCTGTCCTTATCTCTGATTTTGGAGAGCTTGATTATTATATGTCTTGGTGGTTTTCTCTTAGGGTCTATACTTCCTGAATGCTTATCTTTTCGCTTTTCAGGATGTTAGGAAAATTTTCTTCCAGCATCTCTTCAACTATCTCCTTTGTGGACTTGTTTGATTCTGATAATTCTTAAGTTATTCCTCTTCATGTTGTCCAACATGAATCTTAGGCCTTATTCAGATTTTTTTTGTTATCTTTTTTGTGTTTGCTCTTCTTTCTTAGTAGTGTTGAGAGACTTATTTTCTAGCTCACTAGTTCTGGCTTTTCTCTCTTTGTTTCCAATGCTGTGTCTTTTTTATTTGATTGTTCCTATAGCACTTTCCCAACGTCTTCCTTATTTTTCTCAGCTGCATTGTATAGTGTTTTGATACATTTTTCTGAATTCTTTTTCAGGCATTTCCAAAGCCTGCCCATCATCCAGTATGGAGTGTAGGTCTACTTACAGCTCATTTGCCTCAGCCACTTTATCTTGTTTCTGGACATGTGCTGATATGGTCATCTGTTTCTGTTTTTTGGGCATATTCAGTAGTTATCTGTGGCCTTAATACTTAGATGGGTATATAATTTAGTATTTTTTTAATGCTTTCTATTTGCCTCCAGGTAGTTGTGATCAGGATATGGGCTTCCCTTTTCACTCTTCTTACTGAGAAATTTCAAGATGCCACTGTTCATCACTGTGACGCAACTTGTAATTAAGGATTTAATTTTTGGCCTATTTCCTTTTTAGTCTGCCTGTTCCGCTCCACAATACCTGTTCAGGTCTTTTTCACAGTGATAAATAATTCAGGGAAGGCTGTGGCCATTTTGTACTGTCGTTTGGTTTTAAGTGGAAACTGTCACTTTAAATTTTGCTGACATCTGTGTGCATGCGTAGTATAATCCTTGGGTGGGAGTGGGGTGTCTACTCACTCCGGCACCCCCTCCAGTCACCAGAATGGAGGCACATCACCTGCTTGGTCTCACTTAAAATGGTGGCTCCAGGATTAGCTGAGTGTCTTGGATTAGAAAGCAATGGATTTCTTGCTTCTATTACAAATTCCCCTAGTTGTAAGTCTTCCAACCTTCTAAATATTCCTTTATATGTGGTTCAGAGTTCTGGCACCTTCCCCTGAGCCTGCCTGGTCCTGTATTCTGTGTTGTTGTTGATGGAGCTCCTCACTGCACGTCTACTCGATCTGCCATCTTGTTTGTTCTCTTGGTGCAGTCTTTTGATACCATAACTTTTTCATTTTTAGTGTGTCCCAATCATCTATTTTGTCTACTTTTGTTTGTGTACTTTTCAAAATGTTTGGTAGTCTGTATATTCCCTGTATTAGAGCACTCACATCAGACCCTATTTTCTCATTGATGACTTTCATAATTTTGGAATTCACATTTAGGTCTTTTATTCATGCTGAGTTGGTTTTTGTATAAGGCGTGAGGTAAAGATCTAATTTCAATCTTTTGCATATGGCTTTTCAGTTCTGCCAGTACCATCTGTTAAAGTGACTATCTCTTTCCCATGCAATATAGCTAGGCACTTTGTCAAAAATCAGTATTCTGTATTTCTGTATTCTCGATTATGTTCCATTGATCAATGTATCTTTCACTGTACCAGTACAAGGCTGTTTTGACCACTGTAGCCGTGTAATAAATTTTGAAATCAGGGAGTCAGAGGCTTCCAACTAAGTTTGTAATTGTGTTTTCCATCTCTTTAAAAAATGTTGCTGGATTGGGATTGCATTATGTGTGTAAATTGCTTTGGGTAATATTGACATTTTCACCATGTTGAGTATTCCTATTCAGGAACATGGTATGTTTTTCCACTTTTTTGTTTGTATAGGTCCTTTGTTTCTCTGGTTACATGGTATTTCTTTCCTAATGTCTTTTTCAGCGCTGTCATTGTTACTATAGAGGAATCCAACTGATTTTTGTATGTTGATCTTAAACCCTGCCACTTTGCTGAATCTTCCAATGAGGTCTACTAGTTTTTTTACTGAACCTTTGGGGTTTTTCTATGTATAGGATCATATCGTCTGCAAATACTTTTATTTCCTCATTAAAATCTTCCACTATTATTATAGATTTATCTATATTTATTTCTTCAATTCTAGTAAGGTTTGCTTTATATTTGTTGGTGCTTTTTCATTGGGAGTATAGATATTTATTATGGTTATGTCATCTTGCTCAATTGACCCTTTGATCATGAGATAGTGTCCTTCTTTAATCTCGTATGCTGGTTTTTGTCTTAAAGTTTACTTTATCAGAGATTAGAATTGCCACTCAGGCTGGTTTATTTTTGCAATTAACTTGGTATATTTTTTCCATCCTTTACACACAAAGACAAAAACAGACTAAAAGTTAATGTGTGTGCACTGAACAACAACAATTGTATCCTGTAATCTACCTGACCTCCTCACCACCTGGATCTCTGTTCCTATGTTTATCCCTTTTTTGACATTGATATTATTTTGATCTTCAATTGACCTCCCAGCTCCTTTAAATTCATTGTTGTAGTTTTGTTCTGTTCTGAACCCTTCAGTCGACTGAGTTCCAGATGGTGTTGCCTCACCTGTCAAGCTCTGGTTATTGTCTTTTCTTGTTAGTTTTCAGTCCAAAGAACTCCCTTGAGGATGTTTTGAAGTGCTGGGTTGGTTTTGATAAAATCTCTCAGATTCTGTTTATCCTGGAATGTTTTTGATTGCACCATTGTATGTGATTGAAAGTTTTGATGGGTAGATGATTCTTGGTTGGCAGGTTTGTTTTTTTTTTTCTTTTAGGGTTTTGTATATGTCTCCCCATTGTCTTCTTGCCTGCATGGTTTCTGGTGAGAAGTCAGAGCTTAATCTGATTTGCTTGCCTTTGTAAGTGACACTTCTCTTCTCCCTGGCTGCTTTTTGGGTTCTCTTCTTGTCTTTGATTTTCAAGAGCTTGTGTGTCTTCGTGACTATACTTCCTGGTGTACGTTCGGCTTCTTGAATGTTTATCTTCTCATCTTTCAAGATCTTAGGGAAATTTTCTTCCAGAAGCTCTTCAACTATTTCCTCTGTGGACTTCTCTGATTCTTCCTGTTCTAGAATGCCAATAATTTTTAAGTTGTTCCTATTCATGTAATCCAGCATGAATCTTACTTTTTCTTTATCCTTTTTTCAGCTTGCTCTTGTATCATTAGCAGTATTGAGAGATTTGTGTTCTGGCTTCTATCTAGTCTACTCCTTTCCCTTTCAGGATATTGTCCATTTCTTATAATAAATTATCATCGGGACATCTTTTTGCAGGTTTCGCATTGTTTCCAGTGCTGTATCAATCTTATTTGATTGCTCTTGTAGTACTTTCCTGACTTCTTTCTTGTTCTCCTCCACCCCTTTTTGGAGCATTTGAATTTGTTTCTATATAATTCTTCTGAATTCCTTCTCAGGCAAATCCAAAATCTGCTCTGCTGCTTTTGGGGAACCTTTGTCTCCAGGTCATTTGTCTCAGTTACTCTTTTCTGTTATTGGACATGTTTTGAGATCAGTAGTTATGTGGGGTTTTTAATGCTTAAATGGATGTTTGTTGTGGTGTTATTAAGCTTACTAGGTGTCTCCTGGTGGATATGATCAGGAGATTGGCTTCCTTTTTTCGCATGTAATGCTTAACAGCTGTTATTGGCTCTTGTGTCAATGGTGTAATATTATGGGGTATCCTTGTAGCTTGGCTATATGGCCATGATTGCTGTCTCTTCTTGGGTAACATAGGGAGAAAAAGCTCCCACCTCCAGGAATATGTGTGATCAAAAGGACAGGACCAAAAGCAATATAAAAGAAGAGACAAAAACCACCAATTTGAAACGAAAATAAAACTTGACAACTGTCTATTCGCCTTGCTACACAGGCAGTGTGTGTGCACTGTACAAGCCTCCAACAGTTGTTGGGGGTTTCCTCTTGCTCAGGCCCCTCCTCTAGTCCCCACCGTAAAGGTGTGCAGATAGATAAGCTAATGAGAGGAAAGACTGTCTACTGTTTTTGTTTCTGAAGGTCAGCTAGGTAACTGCGTGTGCACAGCGTAATTCTCGAAATAATTGCATCCTTTTTTGTTGGGGTTTTACAGATTGCTCATATGGTTGTCTGTCAGGCCAGACCAGGATTTTTCTTGCTAGATAGGCTGGAGTAAAGGGTCCTGCACAAGTTAACTTCAGGACTGGCACCCACAGGCTGATGTCATAAGCAGCCACCAAGCTCTTTCCAGTTTTCACATGGCACAGAGAGACTCAGAATAGGATTTTTCTTGGGGATGTGCACCCATTCACCTGAAGGCCTGCAGGTTTGGGCAAAGTCGCAACACAGAAGAGGAGGAAAAAATGTGTAGAATCCCCCGCACCTCCTTTTGCAAATGTCACTGCATTGATTTTAGTGCTGGTTCCCTGTGCCAGTCTTCAAACTCCGCCTGGGCGGGGTGGCCATAGAGGGAGTCCTGTTGGAGTGATTCCTAAATCGTATTTTGCTTTATATTGTAATTTTTCCACCACAGCTTTATTGGATTTTCAGTTGCTCCCCTACGGAGCCTTTTCTATCTGGCTGTCTCTGCTGCCACCAAAATTAATTGTATTTATAAAAATTTATTATTCCTGTGATATTAACTCTAAAGAGTTTTTATCTCATGTACTCTCTAGTTTATTTTAATCATGGGAATAGTAATGTAAATTTATATTCATAAAACTAAAGCTAACTAAAGTGAAATGTTTTAAAATTATAATGTTTCGTTATCTGTAATTGTAATTGTAATAATTTTGAAATGCCCAACATGCTAAGTTTATCTGAAACAATCAACACGGCAAATGATACAGAAGTACTTCTATATAATGTCCCAAGTAAAATCCAATATATAGAACTAGACAAAAGCACAATATAAAATAAAACTGAAAATGAAAAAATCTGTACCAACATTAAGTCTCTTACCTACTAATATCCTGTTTTTACTGATGCCGCTTTTTACTTCATCGTCAATCAGATCTGCAAGCAATCGGCACATTCCATCAATTGATTCAAGGTGTTCTGGGCAGTCATTAGAGATCTTCAATCTGTCAAACCATACGTTGGAGATTCCTCCTTTCAGAGGAGTATACGGCCTGTTTAAAACCAAAACACGTAATGAAAAGGTTATAATATAAAAATGATGTTTTACTTTCTGATATTACGGTTTTGAAAGATTTTAATTCCCTATAAGTTTTACAAATTAGAAAGTCTGCATTAAAATTTTTTAAACATCATACTAGTTGCTGTCAAGACGGCTCCAACTCCCAGAGACGCTATATGTTCCAAGTAGGCCTGTGCTCCACAGGGTTTTTAATGGTTAATCTCTGAGAAGCAAATCACCTAGGCCTATATTCTAAACTGCCTGTGAGTGGACTCAAACCTCCAACCTTTTAGTTAGCACATAAATAGTTTGTACTATCCAGGGACTGCAATAGCTCTCTCCTCTTCATTAACATTTACTAATGTCAGCTTTGCTCCTTGAAAACATTATTGGTTCTTTTGGCAGCCTATGGCACTTTCAATATTCTCCCCCAACACCATAACTCAAAAAAGCATCAATTCTTCTACGGTCTTCCTTATTCACTGTCCAGCTTTCGCATTCACATGAGGTTATTGAAAACACCATAGCTTTCTTGGGTCAGGCACACCTTAGTCTTCAAGCTGACATCTTTGCTCTTCAACACTTTAAAAAGTTCTTGTGCAGCAGATTTGGCTAATGCAAGCTGACGTTTCTGCTGCTTCTGTGAGTGCTGATAGTTAATCCAAGAAGAATGAAGTCCTTGACAACTTCAACCTTTTCTCCATTGTAAGAGTGTTGTTTATTGGTCCAGTGGTGAGGGTTTTTGTTTTCTTTACATATCCATACCGAAACCTGTGCTCTTTAATCTTTATCAGTAAGTATTTTAAATGTGCCTGAACGTATTTTCTCACAGCTTAGGAGGCTAGAAGTCTGAATTGAGAGCACTGGCTCTGAAGAAAAGTCTGTCTCCTTTGAGCATCTGTAGGCCCAGCATTCCTTGGAGTTCTCCATGTGTCTTGGCATCAGTCTTCCTCTGGATTTAAAGAGCTTTACAGTGCAGGGACTCCAGGTCCAAAGGATGTAGTCTACTCTCAGCTCTTCTATCATGGTGGTTGTAGGCCCCTCCTTCTCTGTTCAAGTCTCTCTTCCTAGGTAAAAAGCTTTCATGCCATACCTTGGGACTCTCCCATAAAGATGGTGATGGGATGAAGGCTGGTGGATCCCACCCTTAATCCTTTTAACTGGTTTATCACCTCATGGAGGGCAGCTACATCTCAACTGCCAAACTATTGAGAATCTTGGCCCAGTCAAGTTGGCACAAAACCTTCACTACCATAGTTCAACCCTTGTACATAGCTCCATAAACCATACACATATTCTCATAAAGTCATACTTGCATCTAACATAATGCCAGTAACATGCATACACTGAAAATGTGCTATTAACCTATTATATCATCCCAAAATTCTTTCAAGTCCAAATTTCAACCTGCATACAAATTCCTTTCTGTCAATCTAGAATAGAGGTTATCTGTCCAAAATGCAATGGTGATATATGTAAAAGATAGACATTTTCATTAGAAATGGAAGCAACTGGAGGGAAAGAAGGTGTAACAGGGACCAAGCAAGTTAAAATTCCAACAGAACAATTTACATTAGCTCTGAGGTTGGACAATAATCCTCTGTTCTCTACCCTCTAGACACTGGATGCTGGTCATGCACTTTGGATTCTGAGGAGAGGCCCTTCAACCCTGGACTTCAGCTCTGTCCTCTAGGCCACTAGAAGTGTTCTGAACTGGGTATCTTATTGAACCTACAAAACTTAAGTATGAGGTGGGAGGACTAAAGTATTAGTAAAATTTAGTCATTTATTGGCTCTGTACTGAAGTTCTAGGATGTCATATTAGCCTAAAGGTATGTATATATACAATTGAGAATATCATATATATATATTAGTGTCACTGAGATGGTTAGGACTCATAGCCACCCTGTATACAGATTCCGAGGAGTGGCTGGTGGTGTTAAACCACCAACCTTGCAGTTCAAACTGATCTTGCTCATTAACCTGCAGTGCCACACTAGGACTCCATACTATATATGGGATCCTCCTGCGGCACTGTAGTGTGAACCGCAAAGTTGGCAGCTAAAACTCATCAACCACTCCTCTGAAACCCTATACAGGGTGTCTATGAGTCTGGACAGTACATAACAACATGCTTACATACGTACATATATGCTGAAATTTATGTATGATATTCTAAATAAGCCTGTGTTGGTGAAAGTAAAATAAAAGTAACATAAAGAACAAAGGTTTTCCAAAGGAGAGTTGATTCTTCCTAGTTCAATATAGCCACTACTTTTCATCATCTCAGATTGATTTTGGAGGGTAACACAACATACTACAAAAAGCATAAAATCTGGAGTCACATCATAAAAGGAGGGGGCAGGGCTGAAAGGCACTACTAACTGAAACTTCAATGTGGTTTCTTATATCTCCTTTAGTAGAAAACATAAACTGAAACTCAGCAAATCCAAAGAGCTAAAAATGTTCAATTCTCATTCTTTTCTTCTACTTAACAAGACTTCATAGCCTGTGCAGATATAGGAAATGTGATAAAACAATGAGAGGGTTATGAGAGATTCCCAAGCATGTGACATGCAACACATTTTATCTTTTAAAGGATAAAAGGCGAGATGCTTGAAAGAGCGATGGACCTACTGAAGAGGTGGGAGTGGAGTGTGCCCTTTGGATCTGGGGTTCCTACATTGCGAAGCTCCTAGATCCAGGAATAAGATCGATACCAAATGTATGGAGCTTTCCAAGGAGTACTGGGCCTATAGATTCTGAAAGGAAACAATGACCCATGCCCGGAGTCAGCAAAGAGAAAGCCTTTCCCAAGAACTGGCACTCTGAATTTCCACTTAAGTCTGGTGTTGTGGAATAGCAATGGACTGCAAACCACAAGGTTAGCAGTTCAAACCCACCAGATGATCCTCAGAAACCCTATGCAGGGTCGCTGTGTGTCGGAATCTACTTGATGGCACTTAACAACAAACTGCAAGAGAATAAATTTCTGGCTGTTAAAGCCATCCATTGTGGCATTTCTGTTACAGCAGCGTTAGATAACTAAGACAGGAAACATCCAATATTCAGGTGATGAAGAGAATGTGCAGAACTACAGCACCACTTCCTATATAGATCACACCACTCTTAAAATTACAGTAAGTACTGGATTACGAACTACAAGGTCCATGAGTTGAACCCACCAGAAACTCCATGGGAGGAAGATATAGCCTTCTGCTTCTGTGAAGATTTTAAGTCTTAGAAACGTTATACTGGGCTGCTATGAGTTTGAACCGACTTGAAGGCACTTGACAACTTTAGCAGCCTCATGTTAAAAGAATTATATAGTTTTGCACTGTCTGCTCTTTCTCAACATGGGTTCTGTGAAAGCATTAAACTCTAGTGCCTAAAACATACATTGCAAACAATGAAATGATTTCTCTTCTATGTAGAGCAGACACAAAGGTTACTACTTCTTTATTATCCTTGGGAAAATACAGAAAATCAATACTCAAAGCATTTTCTGTGTTCTCTGATTCAGGTGAAGGTTCCAACTGAGGAAGGCTCTATTCTGTTTTATAAATCTATATATATGTTCCTGCCTTAGTATCATATTGATTCTATCACAGTGTATACAATATTCTGCAGTTAGTTAGAATCATTACCCTTAGTCACTTTCCTCATATCTGTCCTGGCTATTCTAAGACATCCTGTTCTTCTTGTTTATTTAAGAAATCAATCAAATATTTCTTATATTTTAAAAAAAATTGTCTAAAAAATTCTGTGGCCAGTCTGGAACAGTTAGAGCAACAAAAGTTGCATCTCCAAAGAAAGATCAGCAGGAAAAACAACAAAAATGGCAGTATGTTCGGCTACTGCAAGATGTTCACTGAGAAGCCATCAAGGCAAGCAATCAAGTCCCTTTAGGACAAACCCCTCTCTAAAGACTGAAACTCAAAGGTAACACCACAAATGTCTACTGGTTAGTGGAAGAGGGGGAAAGGCAGCAGTGAAGAAATGGGCTAAGTCCAACCATATTCCATAGACTCCCACTGACCTGGAGATGAGAGAGAGAAGAGGAAGGGCTGGTTGGTACGAAGTGTGGTGAGACCTGGGGACACCTGAGCCCATGGAAAAGGACATAGCCATGGAGGGCTAGATCTCAGAGTGAAGCATTCAGCAGACAGTAAGTAAGGGGAGACTCACAAGAGCACCCATTTAGGCTTGATAATCAGAACTCGAAGAGAAGAAGATAATTTTTTTTTTTTTTTTAATAATGGAAACTAGAGTAAATTGTCACAATTTGATGAACTTGACCTATACACATGGAGGCAGTACCTCAAAATACCAACAGAGAGGAAAGGAGTCTTCACATCAAGTATCAATGCTATCTACCCTCTGAATACAGGGGTTGATAGGGACATTGGCTACCTAAAATAAGGGGGCGATAAAAGCACAAAGTGACTGGCTTACAAGGTTTCAAGAAGGAGTTTAGTTTAAGTGTGTGTGTGTGTGGTGGGGAGGATAGAGTCCCCACTAAATAGTTGTCGTTTTGTCTAGATGGGTCTGGTAAAAGGAGATGGGGATACAATTCTTATAGTGAGTAATTGTTATTATGACTAATTGCAACTGTCACAATCGTAAAGGCAGAAGTTTTGTAACTAAAACAGGGGAGTAGTTAATCTTACAGTCCAGAAACAGAGGACTCTAGGACCATCAAGAGAGAAGAGCACAAGCAGAATGCAGGACCTTATCCAGAGAAGCAGTGACACCAGAGATGGGGACATGGAGAGAGGAAGAAGCTGAGGACTCTAGAGTCATGGAAAAAGGGAGATTGAGAACTGGCGGTCATAGGAGGCAGACTTGCAGAATGTGCCCTTTGGTGGTTTAAATTATTTATATGCCTGAGTGTTTTAAAAAACAAAGCTAAAATTAATAGAAATACTGTTAATGGATGGTACATGGAGGGGATTATAATAATTGCAATGAAACAAAGTATATGGCTTGTTG